AAGTGAGTCTCGAAATTCTAAATTGATTCAACTTCGCTTCCAAATCCTCAAGTGACCCAATCTGCTCCGTAGTACTCAAGGTCTCGCATCCCTAAAATCACGAAGCTTGTAGTATTTAGACGTCAGAATGCTGAACGAAGCGTCACAGTGGGTCTTAAGACCCTGAAGTAGTCCGGTGTGGCTACCAAAGGTACCATAAATGATCCAAGGATCCTGATTATATCGTCCAAACTATCGCGTACATATGCGACTGAAGTGATAAGGTCGTCCAGTCGGTCGTCCATAATTCTGCTGCTGTGTAGTCCAAAGCGCATGACTATATCGCAGCCTCTCTTCTCTTCTCAAACCTCGAGGTCATCTTGTCCATATCCAGTGACTCCTAGGTTGCCAGCTTTGCATGCATAATATTGTCTTGGTTCGCTAAAGATACTCTCGGTAATGCATAATACCTACATAACTGTATGCCGTGTTGAGCTAGAATTTGGAGGATTGTCTGCAGTCTACATGCTGTTACAACATACCAAACGAGAGACGTTTAACCCTTTAACAGTCTGATGTTACAAATTCCGGTCAAAAAGACGTACATCATTTTTAGGTTGTACGTTGGATTATTTCTGAGAACACCCTGTAGAAATAATCGAGCGAGGGCAAAAATGTCTCGGCGTTCTTTCAGACAAAGACGCTAGTCTGGTGTTCTTCTTCGAGTCTGCACACTGCACGCTGCGATACAACAGGGTAAACAGTTCGTAGTGTTACACCCTCAGATATTATCCTTCTTAGGCCTCAGTTTATCTGTATTTACAACGAGTCACCCACTTTCACCATTACTCATACTGGACTCTTCACCTTCCAACTCTCCTCTCAACTCACCTGCATAGTCACAACTAAAATTAAACAGCCCTATTTTCCCCATTCCCGTGTTCATTCTCTGTTTTACCGCGCGCACATCGCGTAACGTCAAGATCTCTGTCAAATAAAGTTCTGTTTCCACGCAACGACGATCCTTAAGTGTTTTAATTCAGTGATAATATCCGCTCCTAATTTCGAGGAATTGGAGCAAACCGACTTTGGACCCCAGCTTTCTCTTTTCGGGTGTCCAGAGACAGTTCGATAGAGCAGTGGTCTCGAACTGAAATTGCATGCGGGCCGAATGCACGATCTGAAAGCAGCTGACGGGCTGGAATTTCCTTCAATAGCAGTCGCCACATAAGCTCAGTCCGTATCTCTATGCCTCTGAAACTTTAAGCACCGTATTTACAACGAATACATAATTGAAATGTGTTGGGTTTTCGTCTTCGTTGACCGGGTTTATGGCACGCTCGCACTAGAAGGTTATTTTTTAGAACAAAGATGCTTCGTAGCTCCGTGAAAAAATAAGTCATTTCTTACAGAACAATGCCTTTAGAATTTCGACTTAGTTATTTTTTAGAACAAAGATGCTTCGTAGCTCCGCGAAAAAATAAGTCATTTCTTACAGAACAATGCCTTTAGAATTTCGACTTTTCCGCGTCTTCGATAACCGAAGACGTGTCATAAACCAGGGTTCCTGAAGGGTCAATCCACAGGTGCGTATAACGGCCGAGGGTTGACCTGGCGGGAATTTCCGACGTGTCACCGAATGACAGTGAAGATTCTACGCACCCGCAGGTAGGGGCCCCACTCCTTCGTTTAGACGTTTTTTTTTTTTTACGTGGAGAAATCCTCATGGATGCCCCGCTCCGGCGGTGGGCCCGGGATTTCTTACGAACACAACCGGACCCACCCCTCGCCGGGCCCCTCCCTCGAGATGTTCGAGGAGGGAGGGGCTTATCCCGGAGGGGGTCAAAAGGACCCCCTCTCTACTCCGAGGCGCCGCCCCCACCGTGGGCCGTGTGCAATGGGCTGCCGAGTCCCCCCTCGACAGCCCTGCGGCCCCGACCGTCGCGCAAAGACCCGGGGGGTGCCCCGCCC